CCCCCGCACTGAAATGGGCGGGACAGAAGCGGAAGTTGGTTCTTAAATAGACAGAGGCCAATTTCAAGGTATTTAGAAGAGGAAGTGATGAGAAGATAAGTTTATTTTCAATTTAAACATAAAAACAGCATTTTAATAACAGCTAAAGGTGACATAAATGCTTTACTATGGTATAGTATTTAAATATATGTCTGAGAAACACATAATATTGCCCCTTAAAAAAACAAAACAAAAAAAAACCAAGGTACATTTTTATTTTCAGTAAGCACTAAGATAACTTCATTCCTCCTCATTGCCACTTTYCCTTGCTGTCTCAGGTATTACAAGCTCTCTGTGCTGCTGATGTGCTTCTTCGTGCCCATGTTCGTGCCTTGGCACTTCTGGGGGGAGTCCCTCTGGGTGGCGTACTTCATCCCGGCTCTGCTGCGTTACGCCTTGGTGCTGAACGCCAGCTGGCTGGTCAACAGCGCGGCTCACATGTGGGGAAACAGGCCCTACGACAAGAACATCAACCCCCGGGAGAACCGATTCGTCACTTTCAGCGCTATAGGTATGAAATTCACACAAACATGTTCTGAAATGCGTTTTTTTTAAACGTCACTGTGGGTGAAAACACACGAGTGATTTCATACTTTTACTTTAAAGAATCTCCGATTCAGGTGACCTGTCTTTGTTGCAGCTTGTCTTTACTGTCCTGTGCAACTCTCGCCTGAAATTCAAGTCTTTCTCTCAAATTTTATCACCATATATTTTTTCTATTATTTTATACCCAGTTTATCTTTCCAGGGTTCCCACAAGTCCTTGAAAGTTTGTGAATTTGAAAAATTATTTCAAGGACCTTGAACGTTTTTGAAAAGAGCCAATAAGTACACTTGTCCTTGAAAGTCCTTGAATGTTTTTTGGGGATTGAAGTTCTCTATTCACACGACTGGTTTTCATCATCTGTAAAAAAAAAATAATAATAATAATTATAAAATAAAAAAACCCAAGACTTACATTTGTTGCGGTAGATAGCCCAGGATTACACTAAACTGACGTGGCTTTCTACAAATAACTTGAGCCATAGTCATAGTTTTATCCAATCAGAGCAGAGTAGGGCGGGTCAGGTGAAGCACCACAGCTCCTCCTGTCCTCGCCGAGCATTGGGACATGTTCACATCCCCTCCTCCCAAACTGAGCTGCAGAACCTCCCAGGACATAATTACATGTCCCTGTATTGTAGATATGAATGTAGGGTGTACATTTAATCCACTTTCTTTCATTGATTCTGACTCAACAACTTATATGTTCAGTTTTTATTGAATTTACACGATATTACACCTGTTTATTGGTAACATTCCGTGGTAGCAGTAGGTAATTGCCATTGCGCTTGGTTCTTGAAAAAGCCGACGTTTTCAGTAAAACAGCTAAAACATGGCTGGAAACATTTTAATTAGCAAAAGGATGCAAAAGAAGCACAAGTTTTCTTAATTTAGCTTAATTAATTTGCTTAATTAAGTTGTAATAATTACAAAAATATACAAAATATTACAAAAACCTAACTTTAGCTAATACCAGCTAAACATTAGCTAAAAGTGCAGCTGAATATAGCAGAAAGCAACTATAAGAAGCATAAATAGCACAAAGTAGCATAAAAAGCGTAAGTAAGTGAAAAAAGCAGAAGAATAGCAGAAAGAAGCAGAATTTTTACTGAAATAGCAGAAAACGCTAACAATTGCAAAAAGTAGCTAAAATTATTACTAGAAAATGAAAAAGAGCAGAACCAGAGCAAAATGTGTTAGGTGCTGTAAGGTTTTAGAAACATTTTGAAGGATTTTAAGGATGTTGGAAAGGAAATTGGTACTGGAAAGTCCTTGAAAGGTCCTTGAATTTGATGTTGATCATAGTGTGGGAAACCTGTCTTTCTCCAACACCTTGACAGAAACAAAACAAAACAAACAAACAAAACCAGTTGCTTAAAGCCATATTCTCTGACCGCTGCTTCCTGTGCCGTCCAGGTGAGGGGTTTCACAATTACCACCACACGTTCCCCTACGACTACGCCACCAGCGAGTTCGGCTGCAAGTTCAACCTCACCACCTGCTTCATCGACTTCATGTGCCTCCTGGGCCTGGCCAAGGACCGCAAGCGAGTCTCCCGCGAGGTGGTCCTGTCTCGGACACAGCGCACCGGAGACGGAAGCCACCGCAGTGGCTAAAACTGTAGGGAGGAGGTCGTCAGCTTCGAGGCGAAACCAGCCGACGAAGATCAAAAGGCCTCTGACAGCGATCGATTTCATTATCCTCTGAGTTTCTAAGTCAGCTTCATGAGGGTCCTGACCACATTTTGCTTGTTCTTTGTGGGTTTTGTAGCTAAACTTATACAAGTCATTCAAGATATAGGATTTGTGATATTCATCCAGGCCAAATTTTAAAGTAGAGTCATTTGTTTAGGACAACTTTATTTCTTGCTTCTCTGCCACTTTGCTGTTCTCTTTTCTTAAAAACTCAGTCTTGTAGCCACTCAGTTTGATCYGTTACTCGAATATTAATCAGATGCAGCAAGGACTAAAATATGGAGTAACTAAGCTGATAGGCTGCATTTCTGACCGAACACTTGCCTTTAATGCAGATTTATGGGATTTTTTTTATTATTATTATTAGTTTAAATATAAAGCTTAACTTAAACGTGAAATATAACAAAGGATTTGAAAAGTGAGGGAATCCAGACCTTCCTCTTAAAAGCCCAAAAATACTGTCCGAACTGTGTGAGTTTCGCAGTTTCGCCTTCTAAAAAAAAAAAAAAAAACAAGACCAAATATATTTAGAAAAATCAAAGCACTTTGAAAACAATTAACATGCTTCGCTTGAATCTGTAACCTTAGATTAAAACCGCTTTTTCATCTCAACAGTGACATGCAACATTTTTTTAACGAATATTTAATAGTGCCAAATATTTTCTAGCGTTTACCGTATTTAAACTATTTCTATCATCCACTCTAGTGAATATTTCGTCTTTAAGTTATATGATTGTGAAGTTTTTTTTTGTGAAGCGTTATGGGTTTCCAGATGTTATCCAATGTGTCCCAAACATCTGCAGCGGAGCTCCCATTGGTCGGTGCAGCTGTCAGCTGCTGTTCAAAACCACGTGCATGGCGATACGCTGTCGTAGCTGTCGTGGTAAGGTGACGTGTCGGTGACTGTCGTGGCACAACTGCGTCGATTTCTTTCGTACCGTGAAGCTGCTGCTGTCGCTTTTGGCTCATCAGATTTGTCGTGGTGATTTCAGAGACAGGGTCTGGCTTCTTCCCCCCCTTTGATGTCTTACGGAAAGCGATTATCAGTCTAAAAAAAATTATATCTGCATTGATGTTGGTGTTCATTTGAAAATCCTAGTGTATTGAATGCTTGTGTTTTTGTGTTTTTTAAATTGTTTTACTTGACTACAATATAATCTTAACTTGATGTTTTTGCATTTTTAACATTCGGCAAATAGTCTCGTATATTATATTGAAAATCTATCAAACTGAAGCACCTTTTTGTTTCTAACCAATGACGAAGTGCGTCTAAAATGCCTTATGATCACATTTGAGCAGTTTAGACAAAAAGAGTAAGTTTCTAAGATCTTGAAAAACCAAATGAAAGAATGTTTTTATTCTACTTTTCAGATTTAGGCAGGTTAGCATGTCTGTAACACACACTAAGAAATAAGATCACTGTTATCAGTCGCTACGATGTAACTTAGGCTACAAAGTTAAAAATCTTGTGCTGTGATAAAAACTGTCGACTCCAACTCAAGCCCTGGGAAATGGCTCCTACTGTCCAGAAAAAGAAAATTTGCATTATTGTTTTGATGAGAAACCAAATGATTTTCAACATGTCCAGTTTAATGATGTACTATTCTGAAATAAAATTCATAGTTCAATTATTTCAGTACACTTTCAATCCCTTCAACACTTGTTTGTTTTTTATTTGCCAAAAGCAGTGTTGGGCACAGTTCCCCTAAAGCACTAACAGGGGGAACTAATTTTCTGATTTGTGCTTTAGGGCTTTTGCTAATTTCTTAATATATTAGCGGATTAGCACTTTCTAAATTTAGGGGCTAAGCACTAATTTAGTTCTTTAAATATTATTGTCAACAGCTGAGGGTGAAAGAGATGTGTTTATGTGTGTCACTTCAGTGGTTTTTAAACTTTTTTTTGCGTCCGACCCACAAAATAACAGCTGCACACACTTGTGACCCAATATATTACTTGTTTACGTTTGCAAACTTTGCTAATAACTATATTTAACATGGGAATAATAACTATAAACAAACCTAGTAAC